CAAAAAAAAAAAAAAAAAAGCTATGAGTTTATTCACGCCTGCAGCAGGGGTCATTGTTGTGCCGTCTTGCTGCGAGGGCACCTGTCTGTCACTGCTGGTGAGCACTGCCCACTGGTGCTCACAGCTCCCGTGTGACAGAGAGCTTGTCTCTCACTAATGCTGCTCAGGATGACAGCAGGGCTCCCACTGAAGGGCAGATGCCTGCTGAAGGGCACCTGGGTGCTGGTGCAGTCACACCTAAGTGGGGAAGCAGCCTGGCCCCGTGGCTGGGAAAGTGCAGTCTGCAGCTCAGGAGTTCCACTCTCCTTCCCTATCCAGAACGAGCTCCGAGCTCAGAGTTTACCAGGAGCCACAGTTTATCGGGAGGTCCAGCGTAAACAGGACTCATCTTCAGCGGAGGTGGCTTTGGGATTCACACCGCAGGGTGGTGGGAACTTGCTCTCCCTGCCGCCTGCTCACCTGGTCGGGGGTCAGGTGATGGTGAGTGGCCACATGCATCACAGCCCACACTCGGAGCAGTGCTGCTGTCCAGCATGGTGGCTCCTGCTGTGTCGTAGGGAAGTCCCCTCCAGCACCAGCGCGGGCAGGGCAGAGGCAGCACTGCCCCGGCTCTCCAGGCAAGGTGGAGTGTGTCCTCTAGCGGTCAGGGTCTCTGAAGTAACTGGAAGCTTGGTGCAGGCACAGCCCTCACCCAGAGCCTGTTTGCTCGGACCTAGATCTGGCCAGCCAGGAAAAGGAGCGGCTTGAGGAGAAGCAGAGAGAAGCCCGCAGGGAGCGTGCCAAAGAGGAGGCCGAGTGGCGGACCAGGTGAGGTGGGCGGGAGAGGGCGGGAGGACCTTGTCCTCAGCCCTGCACACCCTGACAGCTCGTGGCCGCCAGTCCACAGCACTGTAAGGCGGTGAGCCTCACCCTGCCGCGCTGTCCCACTGTGCAGATAAAGGCCTGGGCCCTGCTTAGCACACACCTTGCTTGAGATCACCCCGGGAGAAGCCAGGGCCCCGCAACCCCGAGCTGCCACCTGCTTCACCGTGTGTGACCCAAAGCACTGTCCTCGCATACGGTGATGGAAAGACAGAGTGGAGCCGGCCAGCCGTTCATGCAGGACACGGTGGCACTGGCGTCCGTGCTGTTCCCAGGCACACCGGTGTGAGGCCACCAGGGGCCACACACAAGGCACAACAGAGGGGCCGGCAACGACACTTCCGAGGTGCGGGCTGCAGCCCCGGTGCTCCTGGAGCCGCACCCAGGCACTGGAGAAGCGCAGTGTGGACATGGGGTGTGTAGCCCCAAGCTGGACACCTCCGCCCAGGAGGGGCAGTGGGAGCAGGTGGGGGCAGGTGACTCCGGGGCTGCAGCCACTGCTAGGAGCCTTAGTGCCATTTCCCCCCGTGGCTGTGTTTTATTTTATTTTTTAGTGGCCATAAGACACAGTCTGTTTAATAAGGATTTACTAATTTGTCTAAAATAAACCCAATCTGGCCAGGGAGTAGCTCAGCAGCACAGAGCCTGCCTGGCGAGTGCAAGGTCCTGAGTCCTGGTACCAACAATAAATAAAAAAAATAAAATAAACCCAATCTATGTTTAATCAGTATAAGCAGTATTACATATTACATATATATGTATAAAAATTTTTTTTGTAGTGGGAATCGAACTCAGGACCTTGTGCTTGCCTGGCAAGTGCTGTGCCACTGAGCTATAATCCCTGGCCCTGTGTAAAATTTTTAAGAGCTGAACATGATCGTGTAGCCTATAACTGAAGCACTCTGGAGGCTGAGACAGGAGGATTACAAGTTCAAGGCCAGTGTGGGCTACTTAGCAAGACCTCATCTGAAATAAAAGGAAAAACAAGCCTGTTGCAAAAACCTTTGGGGTGTTCCGGAAGGCAGCTGTGCTTACCACTGTGCCACCAACGCCGGCCTGTGGGGTTTTGAACAGTACGATCCTTTCAGACTTCGGCTTTCCCTCCACCCCTCCCTTCTGAGACCAGTCTCACTATGTGACCCTGTCTCATCGTTTTTTTTTTTTTTTGGCTTTTTTCCGGTACCGGGAATCGAACTCAGAACCTTGTGCTTGCCAGGCAGGCGTTGTGCCACTGAGGTAAATCCCCAGCCTCCTGTCTCGTCTCTTGAACCCCGAACTCCTGGGATCAAGTAATCCTGTTGCCTCAGCCCCAAGTAGCTGGGACTACAGGTGTACACCACCGCCCCGCCCAGCCAGGCTTCACTCTAGAGTTGCTGCTTTCGAGACTGATTAATAACTACCCCTAATGAGACATGGCTAGAATTTTTAAAACCAATTCTTGATGCTTAAGGCTTCCAATTTAATTTAATATTGTGCTTTTATATTTGGAATCGCCTTCATTTCAGAGAAAAACAGTTGAAAGTAACCCTTTTTAAAGTGTCAAAGGTGGGGCTGGGGATTTAGCTCAGCAGCACAGCGCCTGCCCAGAAAGCGCAAGGTCGTTAGTTCGATCCCCGGTACTGGAAAAAAAAACCAAAAAAATAAAAAATGAAGTGTCAAAGGTATAGAAAATTATACTCTGAAAATAATATTTAATCCTTAGGGGGAAGTTTTCTTTATAAGTACCACCAAAATGGCTTGGTGGCAAGCTGCGAATGCCCTTAGCTGCTCTTGTGTCATGGAACAGCTGTGGAGTGCAGCGCAGGGGGTGCTGGCTGTGGAAGGAGCCAAGGGCCGCGGGAGCTGTGGCAGTGGCTTAAGGAGACTTCTGACTCGGACCAGTGCCCAGAACCCACTGACCCTGCAGGCCACAGCACTGCACCTTCGTTCTGAGAATGTCCCGGCGGGAAGGTTTGTTTGGGAAACACACCAAGAGTGAGCGTGTCAGTTAGCGCAGTTACGCAGGGATTCTCACTGGCAAGTGTCCCGAGGCCGCATTTGTAGGACACCGTGTACTGCTGCATCGAGGTGCCCGTTGCGGGCACTGGGCGTCTTCTGACTACGTTCTTGTGTTCTGCAGGTGGTTTTACCCAGGTGACAACCCCTACACTGGGACTCCTGACTGGTTATACGCAGGGGATTACTTTGAGCGGAATTTTTCTGACTGCCCTGATATCTACTGAGGGCTGGAGGCCAGCCTGGAAGCTGGCAGGGCTGGACCCGTGAGCGGCCCCGCGCCCGCCCCAGCAGAGCCCAGCCCTTCTACCCAAGGTCACGGGGGCGGCGCCGCCCCGTCCAGCTGTGACTCCAGTTAACCTCCCATTGTCCGGCACCTCCCCACTGCTGCAGCCCCTCCCTGAGGCCGGCCGAGATCTGTGTCCACTGAGCTGCAGAAGGAAAACCCTGCCGGGCCTCCCGTGGGAAGCGAGTGGGGCCGGCTGAGCTCTCAGTGCTCGCAGTTAGCCAGTCTGTGACTGGAAGCAGCAGCAGGGGGCCGCGTGCTCCTCACAGGCCGTGGCCCGGTTCTGAGTGCTTCCAACCCAGATCCAGCAGGGAGGAAGGCAGATCTCGAAAAGGACCAGCCGGCCAGGGCGCGCTTCCAGATCACGGCAGTGAGAAGAGGCCTCCAGAGCACCCACGCGAAGAAAGTGGAAAGCAGTCAGGTTCTGTGTTTTCTACCAATCTTGAGTAATGTAAAGATTACTTTTAAAATATTTAAGTTAAAACTACTCGGATGGTATTTTGCCTAAGGGCAGGAAACATTCATCGCAGCGTGTACTGTCCACACAAGTTCTTGGGACAAGCCAGGTGGCAGAAACGTGTGACGTGGACGAGACACGCCTACGGCTGCTCCCCGCTCACAGGAGTCCTGCCTCTGGCCACAGCGCTCGTGTTGTCCCATGCTTTGCTTTCCCGTGAACCACAGCCACGTTCTCAGCGGTCCTTTCTCCACCCGCCTCGCCTGTGTGCAGTCTCGTGTTTGTTTTCCGGGCATGCATGTTCCACTGTAAGTGAGCCATGGAGTGGTGCGGCGTGGGAGGTCTCAGGCAGCATCTGCTTATCTGGTGTCAATTAAAGTTGTTTAACCACAAATAGGTGTGTGTCCCTCTCAGCAGTCCTCTGTCCCGTGACAGACGTCATGTAGAAACCTCACACTGCAGATCACAGTAGAGCTCTTTGCATCAAAGACTATCTGCTGTGTGCACACACACGCACACCTGTGCCGTGTGTGAGCGTGGGTCACTAAATCAAGTGCTTCTGAGCGAGCGCCGTCGCTGTGCGTGTGTCCAGGCTTCAGAGCCACCTTTGGAATTAAAACACGTTTCAAAGCCATCACTGGTTTCAAAGCTTGATTTCATGGCCTTGGAAGCTAGAAATGAGGGTGTAGTGGTTGCATCTGGTGTCCTGGGGCCTGCAGTATCTGTGTTGTTTTGGGTCCTGGGATTGAACCCAGGCAATGCCCTACCGCCGAGTGACACCTCAGCCCTGGCCGACTGTCTGTTCGCCCCACTGCCGACTGGGACACTCGGGACACTTGCCGTGAAAAGCGCTGCTTGGTGGCTTTCAGATGCATCTGAAGCTTCACTCCCCTGGCATCTCTCCAGGAGCTTTTGAAGTGGCAGATAATTAGATCGGGCCGCCCAGGCAGGCACCTGTGGTGGAGGATCCTGTGCGTCTCGAGATAGCACATGAGCTGGCATCTCCCGCGATACTCTTAGGGACACAAGCCTGCTCCTCTTGTGTGTGCTTGTGTGAGAGTTCTGCAGTTACCTCTCGCTGTGAGGTTATGGGACAGTCATCCTCCACCTGATGCGCTGCGCTCGGAACCAGCTGTCCTGGCCAGACGTTCAGGAAAGCCACAGTTGCACAGGGTGGCCCCCGTGGCCTACATCCTTGGGCGTTTTGTCTGGCCTTCCTCCGTGGCTGGGCCTGTGTGTGGTGGGCCCTTCATCAACACCGTTCTACCCATGTGGCCTGAAAATGTCAGGCAAGAAGACATGCTAACAAAATGGATTGATTTTTAATATTTAATAACTCAGTGCCCATATACTGTACACATTAACAGAACCCATCCTTGGGGTTTTTTTTGGAGGACTATGCACAGATCTGGGCATATAAATGTTAGCTTCTATTTCTGAATAGAGAAACGGGTTATAATTGATACTTTACCCTGAACAATTTCTTCCTGTCTCAAAGGCTCTGGCCTTTCCAGAAAGAGATACAAATGGCTAGAAACAAGTCCTGTGCCAGGATATTAGATGTCTGGACCATGTGTTCTTGAGGATTGGCCTAGAAAGTGGATTGTTTCTCCAAACTGCTTGTCATGGTGGAGAGGGGGTTATGGGGCACTTGGAACACCGGACGGCACATCTGGGGAGAGGGTCTAGGTGTTCTGAGCAGCAGCAGCTCTGGTTAACTGTCCCTTTCCTGGGGACTAGGCACTGCTAGAAGAGATGAAGTACCTGGAACGTGGCGTCACTTTGGCTGGCAGGGTCCCACTGCCCAGCTCCTGCCTGAAGCAGCCAGCAACTGTCTGCTGCCTGGGGGCTGAGCAGGGCAGGGCAGCAGCGTGGTGCTCACCAAGCGCTGGCAGGGGGACAGGCCGCCCTGGAGGCTTCGTGCTCAGAAGCGCTCCCAGTGCAGAGTGGCCCATGGAATGCTCACCTGCCAGCACCTGGCCTGTGCGGTGTTTCCTGTCCCAGCACCCTCGGTTGGCCCCCAAGGAGGAACAGGTGCTAGAAGTGCCAGGCTTAAGCTGCTTGGTGGGGAGGGGCTCAGACCTTCCTCAAAGAGAAGCTCAACCTTTCCCAGCCGTGCAGCAGGTGCGTTCTGACCACCTCATACGGTCCCGCATGGTGGACCTGTGCACATCCCTATGTAGCAGACCTTACCCCAGCGCCAAGTCACCCTGGCCTGGCTTTTGTCCCTGTGGCTCCAGCCTTCCCTATGATCAGGCTGTTTTCATGCAGAATAATGCATTCGCTCGTGGGAGTATGTGAGTCAGCAGTTTGCTCCTCCTTACTGCTGAGCAGTAAATAAAGTGTTTCACTGTTTATTCACCAGTTGATAGATATTTGAGTTTCAAATTTGGGGCATTTATGAAAAGAATCACTACAGACATTTGTATACAGTTTTTTGTGTAGACATCTGTTTTCATTTCTCTTGGGTAAACAGGAGATACTAGCTGGGTCACATGGTAGTTCTGAGTTTATGAAAAAAACGAGCAAAGCACTATCACCTCACCAAAGAAGATGCACAGTAGGCAAACAGGCCTATGAAAATTGTACACATCATAGGTCATGAGGAAACTGCGAATTAAAAAAGTACCATGGGGCTGGGGATTTAGCTCAGCGGCAAAGCGCCTGCCTGGCAAGCGCAAGGCGAGAGTTCGGTTCCTGGTACCAGAGAAAAACCAAAAAATCCCAAAAATAATAAAAAAGTACCACCACCCCGTGCGATGACGGAAGTCCAGAACCCACCAAGTGCTGGGGGGCTGTGGGGCCCAGAAGCTCTCACCACTGGCGCCTGGGGAGACGGTCTCTCATGGAACAAAACACATCCCTATCATCCGATCTAGCCATTGAGCACTGGTGTTTACCTAAGTGAAAAACTCATGTCTGCACAAAAGCCTGCACACAGACGTTTACAGCAGCTTTATGAATAATCACAAAAACCTGAAAGCAAGGGAGGACATCTCCAGCAGGCAAACAACCGACACATCAGACAACGGAGCATTATTCAGTGCTAAAGACACGAGCTTCCAAGCCGTAAGAGGACATGGATCTCAGATGTACATCAAGTGAGAAAAGCCAATCTGAAAAGGCTATGTCCTATGTGATTCCAACTAGGTGGCATTGGAGAAAAGGCAAAACCATGGAGCCAGTGGAGGGACCAAGGGGAGGGAAGATGCGTGGGCAGAGGACAAGCGCCTCGGGACAGTGAACTGTGCTGCTGCAGTCGTGCGTGGGTCACTACTGCTGACGCCCGTGACACAGCAGCGCTGTGGTTTGACATGTGCCCTTGAATGCAGGCGTGGGCCAATGGCCAATGTGATGGTATTGAGGGGCAGGCCTTTGGGAGGTGGGGAGCCTCAAGGGTTCCCCCCTCTGCAGGGCGTTAAGCCCCTGATGAAGAGGCATCCTGCAGCGCCCTGCCTTGCCCTCACGCCTTGCCCAAGAGCACCATCCAGGAGGCAGAAAGCAGCCCTGCCACACACCAAACCTGCCAGCACTTTGACCTTGGACTTCGGCCTCCAGGACGAGGAGTTCCTGCTCTGTATAAATTGCGCTGTCTATGGTACTCTGCTACAGTAGCACAAAGTAAGGTTGCTGCTCTTACTAAACTCCGGACTTTGGTCCCAGAAGTTCATCAGCTGTGACAAATCTTGGAAGGCTGGGCATGGGGGAGGCTTGGAGTGTGGGGGAGGACGGTCTATATTTTCTGTTGTTTCACTGTAGACCAAAACTTGCTTCTAAAAAATTGTCTATTAATAAAAAAGTTAGGAAAAAATCCACACCTACCGCTCTTTTTCCAGCTGCAGCGTTTTGTTCCCTCCCCCTGCACCTGGTGTTACCGTTTCTCCTCTGCTGTTGGCCACTCTAGAGGGTGGGTTTTAATTTGCATTTCCCTTAGGAATGATGACGTGAGCAGTTTTTTGGTGGACCTCTGCTGTCTGGGGAAGCCCCCTGGTGAACGCTCAGGCCACCTCTGGGGCCACTGCTACTGCACTGTGCCCCATGCCGCCTCCCATATGGGGCTTGGAGAGCTGCCAGACGCTTTCTTTGCAGTCAGTTCATAGTTGGGTGTTTTTGCTTTTTATCCTTTTGCATTACTATTGATGAAATCCAGGGCTTCACACATGCTGGGTAAGTGCTCTACCACTGAGCTACACCCCCAGCCCTGTTTGATTTTTATTTATTTTTTATCAAACAAGACTAGTAGAGGCCAGGCGTGGTGGTGCACACCTGTAATTTCAGCACAGGCAGGAGGATCATTGTGAGTTCTAGACCAGCTTGGGCTACAAAGTGAGCTCATGGCTGGCCTGAACTGCACAATGAGACAAGTCAAGACAATTAATGTCTTGATGTTTAACATATTAGAAATTAAGAGAAACATTTTTAAAATACTAACTAAAAATAGGGGCGGGGTGCATCTCAGC